CCCCTCTAGTCAAGTGTTATCCCAAGTACTCAAAGAATGTAATCAAAACTTGAAATTAAATGAATTCAGCTCTTTCTGCAATGCTTGTCAGTATGGAAAATCTCATTTGCTTCCCTTCAATACTTCCACCTCACACGCAAAATCTCCTCTGGAAATCATCTACACTGATGTCTGGGGTCACTCACCCATTCCCTCAACATCCGGCTGCAAATACTACATAGCATTTGTTGATGACTTTAGTAGATATACATGGATATATCCAATGAGAAACAAGTCAGACTCCTTGCACATTTTTATTCAATTCCAAAAACTTGTAGAAAACAAATTTGATAAAAGAATCAAAAATCTCCAGTCTGATTGGGGTGGAGAGTATAGAAGCTTTGAAAATCATCTTTCGCAATCCGGAATAGAATTCAGACACTCCTGTCCCCATACATCCGCACAAAATGGGAGAGTCGAAAGAAAACATCGCCATATCACAGAAACTGGACTCACCTTGCTGGCTCAGGCTAAAATGCCATTAAAATACTGGTGGGAAGCTTTCCAAACTACAGTCTATCTTATAAACAGACTGCCCACACAGGTCCTTCATATGAAATCCCCTTATCAAGTCCTGAACAACAAAATGGTTGACTATTTGTCTCTAAAAACCTTTGGATGCTCGTGTTATCCATGCCTTCGACCCTATCAAAGCCATAAATTCAGTTTCCACTCAGTGAAATGTGTTTTCCTAGGCTATAGTCAATCACATAAAGGCTATAAGTGTATTAGTCCCACTGGCAAAACTTACATATCTCGACATGTTATATTCAATGAAACTGAATTTCCATTCGAGTCAATTTTCCTGTCAAAAACTGAATCCAAATCCACTGCACAACAAACTATAGTATCTTACTCCCAGCTGCCTTTTCAGTCCTCAAACTCTGACCTAAACTCTGGTGATATAATTAATCCTGAAGCTGTCCCTGCACCAGAATGTGATTCTCCTGATGAATCCAACACTGCAACTGAAGGAGATGCTATCCATAATCAAATGGGATCTGATCAAAGGATTGAGTCTCCAGACCATGGCAATACTGAGGCAAGACTTCAAAGCATTGAAGAAACTCACAGTCTGGCTGGAAATAATGATGAAAGGCAGAAAATAGGGCACTCCATGATGACAAGAGCCAAAGCTGGGATATTCAAACCTAAAGCTCTTTCCAGTCAGGTAGTGGAAAACAAGTGCAGTGAAACAGAACCTCAAAGTATTGCAGAGGCCTGGGGAAATGAAAATTGGAAAAAGGCAATGTGTGAAGAATACAATGCACTGATTGAAAATAAAACTTGGAACTTGGTACCACCATCTTCATCTTACAACATAGTAGGAAATAAATGGGTTTTCAGCTTGAAACAGAACTCAGATGGATCTTTTCAAAGGTTCAAGGCAAGGTTAGTGGCAAAAGGTTTCCATCAAACGCCTGGAGTGGATTTCTACGAAACCTTCAGTCCTGTCTTAAAGACCTCTACATTGAAGATTATCCTCACCCTTGCAGTCTCCAAGGACTGGAAAATAAGGCAAGTGGACATTAACAATGCATTTCTTAATGGAAACCTGGAGGAGACTGTTTACATGCATCAGCCAGAATGTTTTGTGGACAAAACCAAGCCTAACTACATCTGCAAACTTGAAAAAGCTCTTTATGGGCTTAAGCAAGCGCCAAGGGCCTGGTACGACAAGCTGAGAAATACTCTAATTGACTGGAATTTTAACCAATCAAAGGCAGACACCTCTCTCTTCTACCTCTCAACTGAACAGAATATCATCTTCATCCTTATCTATGTGGATGATATAATTGTCACCGGCAACAACAACAAGTTACTTCAGAATTTCATAACTGAACTTCACAAGAAATTTGCTCTCAAAGACATGGGAGAACTTCATCACTTCTTGGGGATAGAAGTTCATAGACACAGCACAGGACTCCACCTTACTCAATCACGTTATACTTCAGAGTTACTAAAGAAGTTTGAGCTTCAAAATCTCAAACCATGTCCCACTCCCAGTGCAGCTGGGAGAACTATGTCCAAAATTGATGGTGAACCTCTGAAAAATCCCTCAATCTACAGAAGTGCTGTTGGAGGACTGCAATATCTGACACATACCAGGCCAGACATAATCTTTGCTGTGAATAAACTCAGTCAATTTTTACAGGAGCCAACCACAGTACACTGGCAAGGAGTGAAAAGAGTTCTGCGATACTTGAAAGGTACAATCAACCAAGGTTTATGGATCAGAAGGAGTGAAAATTTAATGATTAGTGGCTACTCAGATGCTGACTGGGCATCCTGTCCAGATGATAGAAGATCTGTGGCCGCATACTGTATCTACTTAGGCGATAGCTTAGTGTCCTGGTCATCCAAAAAGCAACAGGTTGTCGCCAGATCAAGCACAGAGGCAGAATATAGAGCATTGGCTGCTGCTGCATCAGAAATAACCTGGATACAATCTCTATTTAAAGAAATCAAGATATTACAAGACTCAACTCCTATCATCTGGTGTGACAACCTAAGTACAGGAGCACTAGCTGCTAATCCCGTCTTTCATGCTAGAACTAAGCATATAGAACTAGACATACACTTCATAAGAGATAAGATCATTGCCAAGGAATTAGAAGTGAAATATGTTCCTACAGCAGATCAGATTGCTGATCTGATGACAAAGGGTGTCTCTCACTCCAGATTTGCATATTTGAAAGACAAACTTGGAGTGTCAATAGTACCCTCCAGTTTGAAGGAGGGTGTTGGAACTCATAGATAACCAGCTAGCTCATCAGCTGACTCATCACCAGACCTCCACCTCAGTAGTTAGTTGCACCTGAATTCTGTTGCAGCAATCTCTCTCAGTGATGTAGGACCACCTACCGTGTTGTGTAGTCCTTAATTTATGGTGCACCATTGATTATCTTTCTCAACTGTACAGCCAAGATTAGAAGCCTAGAACATTCTTTTCACTTGTATAAATCTGAGCTTAAATTCTCACTTGAAAGAATGAATTATTAGTATTTAAAATTATCAATTCCATCTTCAATACTTTAACTCATATGAGTAGTACATGTATATATCAGCGTCTTTAATTTTCAGTGAGACATTGATGAAGATGAGGATGAATTTGATGATTTGGAGAATGAATTTGATTATAACAGTAATGAGAGGAGATCCACAGCAAATTGCAGCAGCATCTCTCTCAGCTCACCTTAATATTGGCCAAAGAGCTTCTGGAATCACTAATCCACTGGAGTAGGATTTCTCAGTGATTGCTTTGGAAATTCCTCTCCTCACTTATGGTCAAGAGGTAGTTGTAGGCTCAACCTTTTTCTTATTTAGTTTGGTGAATTTTTAATGTAGTTATTTAGTAACAATTTTTTGATAGAAATATATATCTTTTACGAAGGATGATACCATTTCTGCGGAAATAGTTATTTGAGATTTTAACATTAAAATGGCGTGAAATTTGTTTGCACTGATATAAGGTTTGTCCAATAAAGGATCTCTTTTTTTCTTTTTTGGCAATTCAAAGAAATTTTCGGCCAAAAAGTGTATCTTGGCATCGCAAAACTCATATTTCAACAATCTTTCAGAGTTTTAGGTACAAAATACTAGATCATTGCCTTTTAGATTATCTTATGTGACTCTCTTTTCCATGTTTTTTCAAAGATACCCCCACCACAACTGCTATCTAGTTATATCATATGTTGACGTCTGGTTTCAATATCCTTTGCGATATCATGGCCTTGTAGAGCCTTAAATTTTTGGCCTCCTTCATATTGGTCCCTGATTTTCATTGTTCGTTTAGCTAGAATATTTTCTTTGTGTAATTTTAGTCCTTAATCATCTAGTATTCTGTGTTAAGTCCTCATCATCCAAAAGTCATTAATAATAGATCTCATATTCAAATTCATGTGCACGTGCGCTGTTAACACCTTTTCGACCTTGGGCAAGCTCTCTTTCCTTATGCACTCGTTTTTTACTCTAAAATGACACAATTACCCTCCATCACTCAAAAAACCCTAAACACAACTCTGGATCACTTGCACGCCAAAATATAGGGGCAACAAAGGAAATTTGAATTTATGGTAGTGGGCTCCAATACTACAAATCAAAACGTTTTTAGAAATAAATAATTGTGCACATCAATCACATCAACACATGGGCCCCATGGTTGTTGAAATGTGGAAGAGACATAATGGGGGCAAACGGAGGCTTAATGCATAGTGCAAATTCCCAAGAACTTTCTACGTGTTCCAAGTCTAGATCTGTCCAGGGTCTCAGTGAACTAATCAGAAAAATCAACTTGCACTGTTAATATTTATCACATTATTTTCAATCAAGTGTCTTTCTATGTCTATATGTTTTGTCCTAGAATGTTATACATGATTCTTTGAGATGTTGAATGCCTTATGTTGTCATAGAACATGGTCATATTTTCTTGATTAATGCCACAATCACTAAGAATTTGCTTCACCACAATCATTGAGCATTTGCTTCATACAGAGAAGTTTTGTATATAAGTTGGGCATAAAATGATGCTTAAATTTACATCAATTGTGACTACACTACTAATTGCAAATAGAATAAGTATGTAGAATTCCATGATATTAACATTTGATGGGATAAAAACAATTGCAGATGTAAACTTACACAGTACACTATTGTTGCACATAACTCCACTTGGGTAAACACCTCATTTCATCTTAGGAATACATTGTAAAATACATTTCAGTAACTGAACCTGGCCAGAAATATATGATAAATGGTGAAAAGAGAATATTAACCGTATTTTCATGTTTTTGCCCATCATTTTCCGGCCTTCTTTTATGACAGTACAAAATCAAAACATAAAGCTGAGAAATTAATGTATCTTTCTCTGTCTAAAAATGAGGACCAAGTTGGAAAATAGTTGGGCCTAGAATTGGATTCTCTACTTTTTATTTATCACATAGTTGTGGTAAGGTTCATTAATGGCTACCACTTCAGTCCTTCACGGTTCGTGTTTAATTTTTCCAGCTCTAAAACAATTTTGAAAGAAAATTTGAATTTCTTGCAAGCAGAGCTCAAAAAGAGATCTTTAATGTAAAAAAATATTTAATTCAATTTCCATTAGAAATGTCTGTAAATGACTGCCCAAATTTACAATCTAGAATGTTACTCCACAACATTCTGAAGGACTTATTCGAAAAACAAAATGACATTAAACCTTGACAGCTTCCAAAGCAAACTTAACTCAAGAACACAGAAAACTAAAATTTTATTTTGTCTGGACTCAGAGAATCAAATCCAACAGATTGAAACATCATTGAGAAAGGTCTATACATATTCTATTTGTGTTGTGCAGAATTATGATGAGCATATCGTTCTCCTTGTATATAAAATTCCTTATATGCAGAGATCTCCTTCAATTTTGCAGCTATTTTTAGATTCCAATAGTATTTTTCTCCTAAACTGTCAAAAATTTAGAAATTAATCAATTTCTAATTAAGTTAAGCCCTTGTTTGATTTTGAAAATCATTTCTCACCCTCACTCATTTTTGACCATACATTTTCAAAAAAAAAAAAAAAAAAAAAAAAATTATTTTTAACGTTTTAAAGAATTACTATTCAAAACATTATTATCAAATAAGCGTTAAGGGGTGTGCAATCAAGTTAATTAAGAATCCAAAACTTTGTCAAGACAAAAATTAAGTTAGAAATACCTTTTCATCATTGACAGACAATATCCCTTCGGTAAGTTGACGCTCCATGTCCTGCAATTCATTAAAGCTCAAGCCTTCGAGTTCCTTTCACATCATCTGTTTTCAATCTCACGACATTGATAATATAACCTAATGGGTAAAAACAAGTTTTTGGATTATAATTTAATCATATGGTGTTACCTTTGGTGTCTAATCTTATCGACATTTACTTCTAAAAACTTCGTTTTGTCAATAAATTTTATGGAGTTATTGTTAAAACAATGAGACTACCATCAACCTACCAACACATCTATTTTCCATTGTTGGGTGAAATGATTTGTACAATCCGTGTGCTTGACAATCGAATCCTCTTGTTTATGCATTCACACAACCAGTTATTCGATTTGGTAACACTCACGTGCTTTTTTCCTACATGCAATATCCAGCTATAGTATTGCAACGTAATACTTAAACTCGCAAGTGTATAAATTCATCATGTACATGTGCGGAAGTCGTGTGCACTGGTTCGTTCGACGACCAAGAGGTAAAAAAATATTTTATTAAATTTGTTGGCTAAGATTGTTTGAAAAATTCTGATGTGTTATAAATGAGATTTTAATTAATTAATTTATTTTTTAACTAGAAAGAGAACGTTTAACCATGGGACGGAAAGCAGTGCAAAATTATAAGGTTTTATGGATTATAACCTTTTATTAGTATCCCAACATCGCCCATCCCTTTGTTCAAATCATGTATTTGTGAATGATTTTCTGGGATTTATTTTCAAATTTGATTTGGCTAGGCAATTAGTATCAGGTAACTTTTTAGTTAATAATCAAAGATCAACCGAGATGTACATGCTAAATTTAAGTATCGGAGGACCCCCCTTCCAGGCTCCTATTGCACTAATGAAGGACCAAAATATCTTTCCTGACATTTTCTGTTTTATACCGATGCTGGGTATATTTTAGAAATACCAGATGAGTATATATCAGCTCCTTTAATTTACAGGGAGCCCCGGAGTTGACAGCGATGATGATGAGGATGAATTTGATTATAACAGCACTGAAAGAAAGGATCCAGAGCAGATTGCTGCAGCATCTCTCTCAGCTCACCATAATATTGGCCGAAGTGCTTCTGGAATTGCTATTCCATCGGAGTTGGATTTTTCAGTGATTGCTTTGGAAATTCCTCTCCTCACATATGGTCAAGAGGTAGTTGGAGGCTCAATCTTAGCTTTGGTTTCTAATATTATCGATAATTTCCAACATATTCTAATTTCCACTGTTGGGTGAAATAATAAATATATTGACAGATATTATAACGTTACATCCTGCATAATCCATGTGCTTGACAATCGAATCCTGTTGTTTATGTATTAACACAACCAGATATTTGATTTGGTTTGGTAACTCTTACTGCTTATCCTTCAAGCACTATCCAACTATAGTATGGCAACATATTACTTAAACTCAGAAGTATTGAAATTCATGTGCACGTGCGCCATTTATCCCTTTTCGAACTTGGGCATACCATCTTTCATTGAAGAATTTTCTTTTCGTACACTTGAATTTGCATTCTAGTTATATAATTTGTTGATGTCATTTTTTATTATGCTTTGCGGTATTAGGGCCCTGTAGAGCCTTAAATTTTTGCCTTCTTCATTTTGGTCTCCAGATTTCTTTCTTTGTTCAACTTGAGTTTTTTCATTGTGTGATTTTAGTCTTTCATCTTCTATATTTAGTTCTCATCATCCAAAAATCATTAATAATAGATCTGATAAAAATTTCAAAAGGTTTCAACTATCTGCAAATTAAGTTAAATGTAAAGACATTCTCATAAGTTTCTACATTCTGTGACTTTCACACATCCTTTTTAATTATGCCACATTATTGTTTGGCTCTTTGTCCAGATGAAAATGATGATTTGGTGTTAACAGCCTTGGCACCGTTCTTAATCAGGAACTTTATCTTGTAGTTTCAGCCCATTTCATCTCGCCCACCTGTCGACCCATGAATTCTTTTAAGCGGGCCGGAAGACCTGGCGTAAGGGGACCATCGAAGCAGTGCCTCAATTTTCTCTCATTTGAATTCTCATAATTATGAAACACTTAAACCATTCTAAATATAAAAGCAATCACGAGAATGATTTACTTATAGCATCAACATCATTGTTATGGTGCCAGGAATAATATGAAGGCAAGAGTGACTTAAAGTCAACAGTAATCTCTAGTAAAATGCAAGCCCACAATATTGAAGCCCAGAGAATCATAGATACTCAACATAGGTGTTGGAATATAAGCATGTTCAGCAGCATAGCAGATCACACAACCTGAGCTCACGTTCAACTCATTCTAGCTCCTTCTAGTTTCTTCTTTAGTTTGTTATTAGTTGTTGATTTGTTGGAATTTAGTCCAGCTCTTCAATTATAGAGACTTCCATGTAGTGCTTAGTTACATTAATTAGCTATTTTTATCTATAAATAGATTAGTATGCATTGTAATTTCTCAAGTTGAATGAATGAAATATTCTTCTTCTTCCTTGCCATTTACAGCAGGTTCTATCCGTTTATTTTCGTAATATAGTATCAGAGCAATGCTCCTTCCGTTTGCAACTCTGTCAGCCATTTTTTTTCTTTAGTTGGCAATTTTGCCATTGATGATTTATCAGTTCAGCATCTGCAACAGTTGTGACCAGAGCATCACTTCGTTGTTTCACATAACTGTATTTTCGGGTGATGAATCACATAACTGATTCCGTTTCTTTCCAACTTTTTACTGGAATTTGCAAGCTGCAGTAGATTTGCAAAACCAGATCTATTCATCCTCTTCAATGGGCAATTCCGCCATTATTGAGTGTTTTCATGCAAGTTATTCAGATTTCCATTGTTTTTGTCCTCCTTCTATAGAGTTTTTTCATGGAATTTATTCCAGTTCCATTTCCCTCTTGTTAAAGTGAGATTTGTCAAATAAATTCAGCTATTGACAATCCGTTTCTCTTCATCATTAATGCAATTCAATTCAGTTCCGAAGTCGGACAGGATTGTAAACTAGTTTACGAGAAGAACATGATAACTCCATCGAAACTCGTAACTGGTTTGTGCACAGATTTTGCTTTTCTCAGTTGCTTGATGCAGTCAAGAAAATCTCCCATTGCAGATTGGGTTGCAAAATGTGTCATCATCATTTCTGATTTCATCTCTGTGCATCATCGTTTCTTCGTGTATCTTTAAGAATTTCTCGACAAAATATTTTTTCCCTTGGCACTTCTTGGTACAGTTGTTGGAAGAAACTGGAGTAGTGCTCCTAACAGTCACGACTCAACATTTCATCAGATTCAACCAGAATTAATAATTTGATAGATGTAGTTCTTAGAGTTCTCCTCTTTATCATATCACCGACTCTGTAGATATCTTCTTCCAATGCTTGTATCTCTGTTTTCCTCGCCAAGTTCAAGATGTTCCATCTTGACAGGGAGTGTTGGAATATAAGCATGTTCAGCAGCACAGCAGATCACACAACCTCAACTCACGTTCAGCTCATTCTAGCTCCTTCTAGTTTCTTCTTTAGTTTGTTATTAGTTGTTGGTTTGTTAGAATTTAGTCCAGCTCTTCAATTATAGAGACTACCATGTAGTGATTAGTTAGCTTATTTTTTCTATAAATAGACTAGTATGCATTGTAATTTCTCAAGTTGAATGAATGAAATATTCTTCTTCTTCCCTGCTATTTACAGCAAGTTCTATCCTTTTATTTTCTTAATAATAGGTCTGCAATAAAGTCAAGTCCAGTATATATTTCCACATTCCTTCAAGAATTAGAGCAGGAAAGACAGTTTATAAACATTTAGATGTGCAATTAATTAACATAAAATGATGTTTTGACAAGTTGAATCAATATCAAGCTTCCATAAAATCTTCAAGCCTAATCATATACACATCCTTTCAGGATTCTGCTCAAAGATTTTCTATGGTAAACTGTGAAAAATGATCACCAACCTAAAAATGCATATGCAAATCACCAAAAATAAAATAAAATAAATAAATAAAACAAATCAAATCAAATTCATTCAAAATGCAAAAGCACACAAGACTAAGACCAATTCATGCAAAAAACACACAAAAGAAACAAGCAAAGCATAATAAAGCACACCTTGAAACATGAAAAAAAAAGAAACAAAAATAAATGTATAAATGGTGTTAAACTTAATTAGCATCTGTTTGGAGCCCATTAATTTTCATTTCTCAACCCACTTACGTTTTGCTACATAATTCAAGACAATGCAGTGTTCTTTCACATTTCAAAAACTTATAAATATCCATCCAATCGTTGGAGGTCAAATGGACCATTACGCTCTCGTTTTTGAATCTAAAATGACACAAGTACACTCCATCACTCAAAAAACCCTAAGCGCAACTCTCGATCACTTGCACGTCAAAATATAATGCAATAAAAGAAATTTGCATTAATGGTGGTTGGCTCCAATACTACAAGTCAAATGTTTTTACAAATAAATAATTGTGCAAATCAATCACATCAACACGTGGGCCATGTTTGTTGAAAATGTGGAATAAAATAATAAGATATAATGGGGGCCAAACGGAGGCTTAATGCATAGTGTGAATTCCCAAGAACTTTCTACTTTTTTCAAATCTAGATGCGTCCAGGGCCTCAGTGAAAAAATCAGAAAACTCAGCTTGAACTTGTTCAAAGTTTATCACTTTATTGTCAACCAAGTCTCTTTCTATGTGACGCCGAGCAGAATAGTGATTATTCTGCAGGCTGGAACCAATTGACAAATACAGAGAAGAACGCAAGAGAAACACCAAGAGAAACGAGAAAATTCTTTATTATTCAACAACTGAGCGAAAATAACCCACAAGTCGGGTTAAATAGCTAGGAAATATTAATTATCGGAATTTTGTAAAAAATAACAAAATTCTATTATTCATACCAAAACGAAATACATGAAAGGAAGAAGATTCCAAAAATATGGCTAAATTTGAGATTGTAATCTATGTCAAAAAGGTAAACGAAATATTACTAAAAATGGCAAAAAATAACTTAAATTGATGATTCGGATGGGAAAACAGCTGAATTTGGCCTAGAAATCGATGCACACCGAGCATAGCTGGGTGCCCACGACATGCGCGCCTGAAAGAGCTTTCCGAATTGGGGTCGTGGACGTGATTCTGGCTAGCCAAAGTTATGGCCAAAATACCGAAACGTGTCCAAAAGCGGCCCCAATTAGGAAAGATCGATGATTACTTGCCATTCTTGCGCTGATCAGCCAACTTATGGTATCTCAGCGCCATTAACGAACTATCAAATAGCCCAGCCTCATCTGGCTCGGATCCCCCTACATCACTATGTCTTTGAGATGTTGAATACCCATATGTCATCATAGAATATGGTCGTATTTTCTTGATTAATGCCACAATCACTAAGAATTTGCTACACTACAATCATTGGGCATTTGCTTCATGCAGAGAAGTCTTGTATTTAAGATGGGCCTATAATGATGTTTAAATTTACATTAATTGTGACTACATTAGGAAACTAATTGCAAATAGAATGAAGTATATAGAATTTCATGTTATTATCATTTGATGGGATGAAAACAATCGCAGATGTAATCTTACATTGTACATAATTCCACTTGGGGAAACAACCACACAACAGCGGTTTGACTTCGTATCTCTTAATACTCGTCATCCATGCATGCAGTACCCAGCTATAGTGTAATACAATAAATTCATGCGTAGGTGAACTTTATGTGCACATGCATTAATTGTGCATACATGGTGTGTAATCGTTCTGTTTGATGATGAAATTCCTTATATGCACAGATCTCCTTCCATTTTGCAGCTAGTTTTAGGTTCCAATAGTTTTTTCTCCTAAATTGGAAAAAAAATGTCAAAATTAATCAAATCCTAATTCAGTTAAGCCAATATTTGATTTGGATTCTTTCAGAATTTCTTCTCACCCACACTCATATCCAGCAATACATTCTGAAAAAAAAGTAAATTATTTTTCATGTTACAAAGAATTACTTCTCAAAGAATTATTATCAAACAAGCTATAAGGTGTGTCATGAAGTTAACTAAGAAACCAAAACTTTGCCCAGACAAAATAGGTTACAAAAACCTTTTCATCCTTGATAGACTATATCCCTTCAGTTAAGTCGATGCTCTAAGTCCTGCAATTCATTAAAGCTCAAGCCTTCCGGCTTCTTTTCCATCATCAGTCTTCAATTTCACGACATTGATAATAGAATCTAACTGGACAAATGAGTTTT